AATGCAAAAACCTGCACCCCAGAATGTAAACCGACTCCATCAACTTTTGTTTTTACTTTTCACTTATTTTTACTTGTTTTCGTTTAAGACTAGGTCTGGTTTGTCTTTGCGTCTCAGCCATGAATATCAAAGAAATGTACAATGAACAGACTGGTACCTAATAGAATATTTAGGATTTAAATAATGTCTGAGAGTAGACATTGAAGAATAGGAGCATCCATAGATACCCTTAAAGTAATGTATTTTACAAAGTTTGATCATTTAAATTATGCAGCCAACACTTTCTTAAATTTCACGGTAAACAAGTAAGGTCAAATCCGATTAAGGGAACAAAATCATGTTTTAGGTATCCCGACCTACGCTTGTTTTTATCTCGGACCTTAACATTTTTACTTCACTCGAACCAACTCCATTCAACACATACCCTCTCTTCTTTATATGCAAGCATCAAAACCAAATTCGAATTCCACATTATTATCTAAAATAACTAAAAATGCATTTGGATATTTTTGTGATTTCTTAAATTAACTTGCTCCCCAAAAAACACAATGAATAAAATATAATGAAAATAAATCCCGACCCGAAAATTGTTTATGCCTAAGAGACTCACCAAGATAAGGCACACTAGTGGTCTATAAGCATGCTTGTTTAAATGAGTATCGATATAAAATTAATAAAGTAAACTGCTTTATGACAAAATTTAAGAGAATTGGCTTGAAAGGATTGAACTCGCAAGCATACTCGTTTGAATTTTCATTAAGGAATATTGAATAGTTTCATACTACTCCAGATGATTAATGCTCAATGCCAATGGTCACACTCATGATTGAGGCTGTCGAGGTCGTATATAAATTATTCTATTTTAGGTTTTTTCTTCCATCATAAAATACCAAAGGCCAATGCATTGATGGGAGAGATACATGATGCAAGAAAAGACAGATGTATGCTGTGCTGCAATTGAGAGCACATCACATAATATCCCCTCCGTGTGTTAAAATAGAGATTTGGTTTTATTTAGTTTAACGTCTTATTAACAGCTTAGGTCATTTAAGGACGTGCGCCATGTGTGTTGTGTGTGCTTGCTTGCGTACGTGTGTGTGTGTGCAGGAGACAGGGTATGTTGGTGTAATTGCCTCCTTGTGATAGCACTATCTGATGCCGACTTTAAAGTGCTATTTCACTGAAATGCCATGCCGAAGGCACACAAAAAAGCATTCAGTCACATTATACTGACAACGGGTAAAGCAGTTGTTGCCATTCCCCTCAATGTTGAACGCTAAGCAGGGAATAACAACTACCATGTTTAATGACTTTGGTATGACCCGGCCTGGGGACAGAACCCATTGCCTTCTTCACCAAGGCGAACGCTCAACACTAAAGCCAAAAGTGAGGTGTTGCAAAGCAAGGCGCTAGGACATAAAAGATTAGTTAGATATTGAAAGAAAAAGAAAATTCCCAAATATTGCAATGGGTGCAGCTGATTTATTTTGGTCGCTTTTGTGTCCCCTAATATAGGGCACAAGAATAAATCCCCAATTCTGCAGTGTGTCCCTCATTAGTCGCCTCCCTACGATACATACAGTGGGTAAGTGTCTTCTTTTCTCGAACCCCGACCTGGAGGGGTGTAAATTAGAGGACATAGAGGTAAACCCTTAATTCGTCTGTACCTCTTCTGATCGTCAAGTACGTGGGTTACAACAATACTCTAACTGACCAAGTATATAAAAGATATACAAGAGATACAAGAGAATGCAAAAGTATCAACAAAACCATAACTCAAAATCGATTAAACCAGAACAGAAAATGAACGACGAAAATATTACCATGTACACTTACGCTTGTTGCACCTCTGGAATATGTCATAGCAAAATTAAAGGCACTCCCTAACTATTGAAATAGTCCCAGGAAAAAAGAAACCATTACCAATCCCTAGGCTGATACCTCTTTTTTGAAGATTGCAGAGGAGCGACATCCGACTTCAATGCCAGGCAGTTTTACATCAAAGAATCAAACATACTTGTCTCATTCAAAACCATGGAGCATGGATGATGACTTGATGTTGTGAAATCACTCGCATGACAATATTGAAAACTGATAATATTAAATATTGCCCATTTGTAACCATAAACACACTACAAACAAAGAAAGGATCCCCCCATATTTCTAATCATTTAAGAAGGTTTTCAACTGATACATTCCTAAAACTAGTGATAAGATATCGATAAAAAAATAAATCTTTCGTAAATTGCATTTAGTCATATGGTATAGTTCGCAATATAACGTCCAACAAACCTGTGTTAATAAGATTGCTTAAGATGGTTTCATTCTATTAGATATTGACCTCGATGCTAATTGGTAGACTTTGTGTGATTCCATTCAGTTGATTAAGTCCAATACCTTGTACATCTCTTTTCCTTCTCTTCGGATATCTTCCAGCCTATTGTCCTTATGCTTAAAGGTTTCTTTAATGGTTAAGGCTAAAAGGTTTCTTTAATGGTTAAGGCTATTTTTCAATTTAGGTATTTTGGCTATAACTAGTGTTTCAATATGGTATACTGGAAAAGCGTTTTACACTGGAATTTCTTTATGACATTGCATACTTTATACTTTGTCTCTAAAGCTGATTAACATAAACTAGACAATACATTTTTGTTTTTCTGATGCAATAGTCCATGTTTCGTGATTCGTCCTATCGTCTAGCTTTCAGATGTTTTTGAGAATTCCGCCATGATATCTTCCTCTTTACAATCAAAAGTTTAGTCCCTAATGTTAGGATTCGTCATCTATCACTGGTATCTGTTTTGAGGTTTACGCAGATGTAGCAAATACATTCATTCATTATTTTCCCCTTAAGTATTTCAACCTAAGGTACATGAATGTCGACCAAATATTGTAATAGCTGTTGTGTTTTTGTTTTTCTGTCAAATCAACTACAAGGTGGTTCCCTGTCAACACCGTTTTCCTCTCGTCACTTTTCGTCTGCTGTTTGTTATTCCTTCAGAGTTGGAGTTAAAATAGCACAAATACAAATCAAATTCAAGTTCTGACCTTCATTAATTCTACTTAACTAAAAAGTTATAATGATATCATAAACATTCCTACATTTAAAAAAAGTTATATAATTAGTTAGGTATGTGTTCGATGTTACTCAATGATGTGTCTTATTTCGTTGACACTATCTCGAGTTGAGGTTTGACATTAACGTTGCTTTGATTTGACGCCGTTTATGAAGTAAAAGCAGAAGACAGCTACCCTTCCGATACATCTAGTGGTATGTTTTCTTTCAAATGTAGAAAGGTGTCCATATAAATGTTTTTTAGAGAGAGAGAGAGAGAGAGAGAGAGAGAGAGAGAGAGAGAGAGAGAGAGAGAGAGAGAGAGATGGAATGAGAGAGTTGTTACGTTATTTTCTTTAAGGTAACTGAGAATCTTTTGATAAAGATGTGAAGTGTTCTGATATATTATTACGTGCGACGTTAAGTGTCTTTTATGAAGAACCTGTCATCATAAAAAAATATGTTGTGTCTTATGTATGCCAGTCTCCGACGGCTTAAGTATGGTGTGGTCTCCTTTCTTGTGTTCAAAGAAACAGTATGTGTCAACACGATTAACTATCTATGTGTGATCAGTTCTCAAAGAAATTAGTCAGCAGATACATATAAGAAGACACTGTTGAGTAAAAGTTATACATATCTAATTAGAATATTACAATATTATTGATAAAAAATAAATTGCTTTCTCGCGAATTATTTTTCCAAATCTAATTGAATTTCATGAAAGTTTGGCAACAAGTACTTGAAACACAAAGGCCCAACTCAAGCAATATATTTGTATAATACATAATCTATTTCCATCGGATCTGTTGTTCAATTTTCGCGTTACAGATTATCTAACTTTATTTTATCATCGTACTCTTTCTGACTATAATGTTTTTTTTATAATTGTTTTCTCTAGTCAAACTTGAGATGCCTTTTAATACAGCACATGATCGAGTTATATAAATCAATGCAAACTGTTAAATTGTTGTATCTTAATGGTTCATAGAAACTTTTTTTTATAACATCACAAACATACCACTAAAGCTTAATGCCAGACTGTTTTATCTCCGAACACTTTCAGATTGTGAAGGTGATGATGCGTCACAAAGGTTTACCTTTTACACGTGCACTTGGTCTAGGTCATAGGTCGAAATAGAAAAAAAACAATGTCACAAAACTATATTTAGGTAACTGCTTGCGCTGTGTTGTTGTGGTTGCTTGTTTGTTTGTATGAAAGATTAAGATACAACATAAACTGCTGCAACAGATATTCTGCTATTTCTGGGACCTCATTTGCGAATTTTGTTATGCATTAAAGAAAAAACTGGTACTTATTTGCATATGACGCTTTGAACGACACTTTTATTTTGCCAGTGTTCTGCGCAAACATGACTAGTTTTTACATACCTACATCATCGTTGAGCCTACAGACGTACTGTACGTGTCGGTTCTCTTGTTAAACCACCCCATGGCAATTAACCGATATACATGTTGTGAAATACCCAGATCCTTGTGCAGTAATTATTCCAAGGGCATCATCTTGTTTAAAGAACACGCGGTTGATCTGGCACCTGTTGATTGTTCTTTTAAGATCCGGACATTATGTATTGCGTAATTATAACGTGACAAAATCACTCTTTACCCACATTGCATTTTAAATACTTTGTTTGTGTCTTCTTGTTATGACACAATAACATTATCACAAAAATGCATTGAAACAAATAAATTTCTTCTTCTTTAGTTTGAGATTAAGATAACTTATAAAACTGTGAACATGGCCCATAGGAACCTCTGTAATTGTCGTACCCAAATTGTTATGAAGAATAGATTAAAACGAACGTGTACAAAAAATAACAAACCACGTATTGACTTCTACCTATTGATGGTAAAGCATGCAACACAAACATTAGTAAAAAATAAACTGACCGCTGACATATTGTTATAAAGAGCCACATCAATGTAACACGAAGGACAGGTTTGTTGTCGAGGCCAAAACTAGATTAGCAGTCACGGTTGAGTAAACCCGACTCTCTCATACGTTAGAGATATTGTATTGACACTTACGAACACGCGAGAATATTCTTGTAAACAAATAAATGAAGGTTGGGTCACTTACAGACCTATTTTCTGTTACGCTACGGACAAGCACATGTTCTGCAATGCAATCCTAAAAAACTTTGTTGAAAACAAACGCCACCACGCGACATCATTTGGGGAAAAGTGTTAGTTTATAACAGATGTGTAGTGTTGGGTTTCTTGTTTGATAAAAACAGGTGGGAACTTAATCGTATTATATCAAAGATGCGTGGTGATGCGATCATTAACTAAGATATATGTTGGTGATGTAACATACAGTAAGGACGTCTGAGTATGAAGTCTACTGTTGAGCAGTGCTGCACTTAATACATTTTCAGGTAAGCTTATTTCTTTTAGAGTAATTTTGTAAAATTGACGTGTTAGATATTGACAAAATTTATAAAAACGATTATTAATTCATGCTTTTGAATCGTGTCATTCATTGTTATGTATGTTAACAAGGCGATAAGTATACATATCTCATATAATTTTATCTTAAGATAAGTGGAGAAAATGTCCAAAATAGAAATTTTAAGAAATTCATTTAAAAATCATCTGCAAAGCAGATTATTTTTTGACACCATGTAATTATTGAATATCAGGCAAAGGCATTGGTTTTTGTTGAGCTTTAATAGTACCTTTACTCATTTGTCTATAAAGCATTTGCCCGTTTCATAACATTGAGAATACATTTCATCATTATCTTTAGTTTATACAGATTACACAGAACAGTGAAGAAAGACACGAATGCTTGTTCATCTTTACTGGTACATGTGCACCCATTTGGACTATGTTTTAATCTACAAACTATAATGACCAGTGTCACGTTAGGGCTGTTGCTTATTCCTGCTTACAGGGTGAATATGTTATTAACCCAAAGAAACATTACGCAAGCTAGACGTGATTGTGGGTACGGGTGGAACAATGAAGTCGAATGCACCTATTTTAGTTCGGTGCCGTCAGATCTTGTTAGGTTCGATTGCCTATGTATATAAAAGTAAGCGAAGTTATATATCATTACCAGGCATAAGTAATATATCAGCTTCCTACCTATTTGTGTTACGTATCATATTAAAAAACAAAGTGTATCCTATATACCACTGTTCGTTGATCACAAGATCTCGAATGTAAACTATATGTGGTTATTGTCATTTTTTAAATATAATATCTTGTAAATAAATTCAATATATAGTGATGACATTTATACTTACTCTTGTATTTACAGCCGACTACCTAGAACACCCATTAGCCAACATGGAGATCCCTGAAGAGTACCTTTGGATGGTGATAGTCGGTTTTATCATCGCCTTCATTCTGTCCTGTGGGATCGGAGCTAATGATGTAGCTAACTCGTTTGGGACCTCGGTCGGTTCCCGGGTGTTGACCCTTAGACAAGCCTGCATACTAGGATCTATATTTGAAATGCTGGGAGCCATCCTCATTGGTATGTTAATATTATCAACTGATAATTGTTTTTATTAAGTGATAAGATATAATCATCCTGGTATACTTACTCTTTGTATTCCGTGATAATATGTACTCGGTATAAACCTTCAAAAGACGTCTAGGTGATCAAATACTAGCAATGTATATTATCAAGGATCTTCATTTTGTTTTCCTCTTTGTTCGTTAAGAATGTGCACGTGCTTTCTTGCTATGACAAAAACAAAATCTTGTTTCAAAAACTATTTTGAGGCGACCTTTACATTATCTATAAAATGGTGAAACACCTCCCACCAACGTGTGTTCATATCAGTCTACGTACAAGTGCATTTGATGTCTATTGCGCGTGCTATACAAATGATCAAATAGATTACTAACCTACGGTTTATAGTCACTAGGAAACAGCATCGCTGTGGTTAAAATGATACCAGAAACCAGTTAAATAACTTTTTCCCGGTTTGCTACGTACCTGTGTATTTTGTAAACAATATATGTTCGTTTCTAAACAAAAACATGATCTATTTAAGATATGTATATTCTGTAACACCAAGAGATATCTGCATGAAAAGGAAACGTACATTAATTCGCAGTTAATACAATTCGTCCCAATGCCAATTCAGTTAAGCATGAAATCAACAACAGCAAGCATCAGCCCTTCTATAAAACAAAAGGAGCAAAACTAATTTTACAATGAACAAAGAGGAAATCTTTATTCCATTCGGATTTATTACAATGAAAGTGGCGTTCAAAGTACTGAAAGCTTAACTGATTGAGGAAAGAAAATGTAATGATTAAAGCAATCCAAGGTAGTATGGTTACGGATAGGATGCTTTGTATATGGTCCCTCGACCGAACAACAAGTGTAATACTACAAAGGACAAAGACGTTTCTCTCTGTTCACTCACAGATAGTGCTCAAACGTTTAGTTTCTATATCCATTTGAAAACAACGAGAATTGGACAATTATTGAAAACTGTTAATATTTGATAAGATAGTATTTATCTGTCTAATAAAACGGTCGTTGCGCCAAACACTGTGTCGCAGCTACGTTAACTACATCCACCTTATTGGACAAAAGTTCAGATACTAAACAGGATGTACCAAATGTGTATTTTGAACATGTTTGCCGTATGTTTATCAAATATTTCTAGCTCTTTCCTAGACATGATCGTACTGACATTGGACAATCTGGGTGTCTTTGTGCTTGTCTGGTAAATCGACGCAGCGTTCTTTCAATTAAATACAATGGTACACAATGGCATACTGTAGGAATATTAAGAAAAAAACAAATATTCATGGGAAATACTCAGCATAAATATTTAATGTTTAAAACAACATTTTGTTTTCATATCTGAACTGGGTTAACGTTTATATTATGTCATTAACATATAAAACTAAGATGTTTTATTCCAAATTCAACAAACATAAGCACCATCAAAATACTTCAAAAACCTTTCAACGTTCTGTAATATAAAGCACCTAAGGCCTTAAACATCCACGAATGGCGATGGGTATCGGTTTCAGGAGTCGGGTGTTATCGTCCATAAATCTGGCAAAGAGTTGAGAACGAAAAACGTGCGAGGTTCTCGTGTTAACGTCGACCTGTGGTACATGAAGTGTGACAAAAACGTGAGATAAAAAAACAAGCCAAGGTAATCGTGTTTACGTCTTCCTATGATACATAAAGGGTGACAAAAACGAGAGATAAACACGTGCGAGGTCTCCTGTTTAAATCTACATGTAGTACATGAAAGGTGACAAAACCTGAGATAGAAAAACGTGCGAGGTACTCCTGTTTACGTCTACCTGGAGTACATGTAAAGTGACAAAATGTGCAATAGAAAATCGTGCGAGGCACGCAAAGTCGGTGAACGTTTTATCAGACTTTATTTTTATTTGTGGTTTAGCTTCCTTGCAACCAGGTTAAGTTTTATGTAGACGACACCAGCGAAACGAAAGAATAAGTGTGCGAGAAAAGAATGTAGTTCCCAACTGTTGCGATAGGGCAGCAGACAGATTTTAAATCCATGCTAAATGCGAAATGCTAACAATTGTGAATGTTGCATAAAATTACACAGCATGTTCTGAAACAACAATGAATATGTCAATGTATTGAGGAAGTATAAATTATATAATGGACATTTTCAAAATTGAATAACACTGGCGAGCAAGAGAGGGATGTGGAGATTTAGTTGCCACGGTTTTTCGACACATTTGTCTAAACACGTTTTACTTTGTATAAGTAAGGAATCAAAAAGACCCTCTTGGGGAGCATCTAGTAGTTATCAAATAACATGCAGATAAAAACACTAACCGCTTCTTAGCCATACCTATGTGGATCTATCCACCTAAAGTAAAAACAAAAGAATGTAGAAGTCTTCCGAAACCGATACCGACTGTAAATCTTAAATCAGCAACACTTTTTCAATACCTTCTAGGTATAATTCATACGAAGTTGCATCAATATCAAACGCACATCATTTACGTATGATAAGTTCAAAATAGTTTAATGAAAGATAGCAATGAGGCGGCAATTTCTAATTGCGATTTCATTCTTTACATAACAACTTTTGATTAAGGCATGGACCTGCTCTGTCATAGTAAATTTCATAAAATAAAAGGTGCACGGACAACGGATGACGGATGAGAAAGACAAAGCAATAACTCGCATGAAAATATATCCACATTTAGTCCAGGATGTAGTTGCGGTGGGTTCCAGGTGTTCCATCTTGTCCTTGGTCGTTCCGCTCTAGGACACATGTCATCTGACACTGTATGTTTTTACACTACCGAATACAAAAACACTAGTATGGGATGATGATGATTTGCAGAAATGATGACATGAATATGTTTACAATGGAAGTAGAGCCATATCTATGTTATCGGAGGCGGTTACTGATCTAGCTAGATCATGTTTATTATAACCATTGTAAACTAAAGGAAATTCCTACTTTTAATTTAAATTCATATATATATATACATATCACCTAACTGGAAAAAAGCTTTGAATATTTGCACCATATTGTTTGCATACGTTTTTTTCAGATTGCCTTTTATCAAACAGTCATTGTGATTATTTATATTTCATTTGTTTTTGTCGAAAACTACTTATCAAGGTCTTTGCTAATACCATAACACGATTGGGACATATAAACAAGCCCGTTCGGTCCTGCGCTTAGATTGTTTGATATTGTTTGAACACCTAGGGTGTTAACGATTATATAGATAAACAATGTATAGATATACAATATATCGACAAAATTGGCTAATCACCATGACCTGATTTCAAACTATCACAATCAGCAACTAAGTAATACATGACGTTATTTTCTAACGTTGATACTTGAGAACGGATATATTTCATATAGTTTACATGAAAAATGACTGATTTCCTGCCAATTTTGTTCTTGTCCATGATGTCACGGTAAATTTACGATGGTCCCCTAACCGATTTTGCTTTGTTCGTTGAAGCGTAAGTATGTTGTTTCTTTATGAATTGCAGGATACAGGGTCTCAGATACGATCCGAAAGGGCATCATTGACGTGGAAATGTATAACAATGGATCTGAGAAGGTCCTTATGGCGGGCAACATCGCCACACTAACAGGTACAGATCTTTGTTTTATAGATTTATAGACGACGCATGCGCCATTCGTTAAACAAGGATTATTATTCGCTGATGCTGCAGTGTTTATTATTTGTGTAAAACGGTTAAAAGGTTTAAAAGCAAAATGTGATAGCCATGCACAGTTAACGTTTTGATGATTCTCTTGCATTCGTTTGCATTTTTACAAGATTTTGTTTATTTCGTAATTTCATATAATGTTCTGTTTGTATTGTTAATTTCATTTTGATTGTTTATTTCAAAAAAAGAGTGCATAGGCGTGTGGGTCTTCTTTGAACCATTTATTTCAATTGCTAGGCAAGCGTTATGGATTGTAGTATCACACAAAATGGACAATATGACGGCATCGATATTATTTTGTTCAATGCGGGTGATGCCACCATTCATGATCGTTTTACAACTGAAATTAAAAGAATAGAAACAATGCAACATACGGACGACCTCTTTGGACCAAGAGTTTAATAACGTGCTCCAAAAGGATTACTTTTCTGATTTGCCTACGTTAAGTTGTGGCTTTTTTCCTGTTCTTGATAATTATCTCAGCAGGGTATTATGGTTTTGTGTTGTAAAATTAAAAAGATTCTGGGTTATAGCAGGGTTTAAGACGTGTTCCGTTGTTAAAATTGATAAAACGTTGTCCACGTACATGTCTGTGCGGATCTCCGTGTAGTGTACATTAAAGTGACAATTATACCTGACATTACCCGGAGAACAATGATACTGATATGATATTTGCATGTCATGTTCCGAAGAACATGTTCATATCGATAACAATCATAATGGAATAAAGAATGCTTTGTAATTTCATACGAAATATAGTTTTTGCATTGTGACGTCAAGAAAACGATTTTGGACCCTAAAAATCGTATATACAGAAATAGACGATCACGAGATACATTGTCCTCAATCTTGTGATGCTTGGTTACCATGCTAATTATATTCTCGTCTTTAAAAAAACCCATTAAAATTATCATTCCTTTCAGGATCCTGTGTTTGGCTGATAGCTGCTACAATAATGTGTTTCCCTGTTTCCACAACTCACAGTATCGTAGGTGCAGCCATCGGATTTTCCCTGGTTGCTAAGGGAGCGTCGGGAATTAAGTGGATTAAAATAGGCTTTATTGGTAAGGTTACCTAGCTATGAATGCTTAACTAGTAGTACGACCACTTCAATCGAGCTTTACACTATTACCTTATACAGAAGTGATACGTAGGATCGTAATTATTGTCATGGAAAATAATGTTAATGGTATACAAGAAAAAGAGTCAGATATATCTTGGCATATGCATTTCTAATAAAAGTTGTGATCCGTAGGAATATCGCAGAAAGCGACTGTACATAGTTTAGCCCCTTGAAAAGGTTTCATGCCATGTTCTTTTCCATAATATCAAATGCAAAGAGTGAACATTGGAGAAACGCACTGTAAGGTAGTTTATTTACTAAATGTCAAAGACAATGCTTCTTAATAAGGAAACAACTCGCCGTAACGCAATTAGCTTCCAGCGAGAGTGTCAACTACAGTATTCGTAAGTTACAAAGGGCGGGATCAGTTCAGGCTCAATGTGGTTTTTAAGCATTGCATTATGAATTAAAGATAAATTATCTTCATACATCGTGTTGAAAAGAAAAATGATATTTCATTAAGTTTTTTTAATTACAATTTCAGTTGGATCCTGGTTTTTCTCGCCGATTCTCTCGGGTGTTGTATCTCTGTTAACGTTCATGTTTATCAACAAGATGGTCCTACAGAAGGTGAGTGGTTTAACGAAGGCTGCCTTTTTAAATCACAAGGTAAATATATTCGAACGTAATATACAAACATAAATTGACTTTATTTATTCTATCATTTGAAAATGACATTGGATGATTATTTAGATTGGGCTGTTCTTGTGCGCGTGCAAATCTTCGTCATGTGATGTGGAAGCTCAGCTGCAGCTAACTAGCTCAAAACAATAACACAGTGCTCACATTTGCAATACGAGACTGGTTTGCACGCGTATGTTTAATTGGGAAATGGTACATAACGCGTATGTGTATTTTGTCTTAATAACCTGATAATTAACCAATGAAATGTGTCGTCACATCGCCATAGGAATTAACATTATTATACACTTACCGAGTCAGTGATTTTGAATTTATTTATTTTTAAGGAAAAATCCCTTGAATCAGGTCTCATGTTACTGCCTTTCTTTTACGGACTTACGGCCGCAATCAATCTTTTTTCCATTTTCTACGAAGGGTCCAACCGTAAGTCTACTTTTATCAGTTGTAAGCAAGGTAACAGAACGTTGTGACTTTGTTTTGTGAAGTACTTAAGAACATCATATTGCATCATTTATCCTTCACACATTTGTATTTGGACGTCAGCTAGTAAACATTGTGAAACCACGCATATAAATAACTACCAACAGTGGATGGATCAGCAAACGGAAACCAAAATGTAATATTATATCGATGAACAGAAATGCAAAAAAAAAATATTTATTGTGTCATCTGTATCATAAAAAAAAAATCTGTTGTACTTTTGTAATGATGACACACAATCTGGACGGATTTTAAACCCACTTTACCAATCAATTCAATATCACAACTACAGCAGTATATTATATTACTTCTCTATCTGTATTTGCAGTGCTTCAATTCGACAAAATTCCGCTGTATGGAGTGTTTGTTATCACGTGCGGGTTGTCTTTACTGGTGGCGATCGGAGTGAGGGTTTTTGTCGTCCCCTGGTCCAGGCGGAAGATTACAGGTAAAGTTGCACCTTACAGGAATGTTTGTATTTATTGCAATACACAATAAACGTAGATTTTGAGATTTAAGTTAGGTCTTTCTTAGCGATACATGTACTGTAGTATTTAGAAACCATTAGCGATTATGTTTAGAACAACGTATTGTAAGCATAGAGATACCTTTGTAGCAATTGACTTTAAGAGGCATTTTGCATAACAATAGATCTTAAAACTACTGAATCGATTGGTGAAATGAAAACTAAGTTATTTTCCTTCATTAAATGTGTCTCGCCACAATTTTTTCTTGAAATGAACCAAAATTATAATAACAAGAACTGATTATTTGTTTTTTCAAAATAAAGAAAATTCACAAAACAAAAAAATCATTGATTTATAAACGAATATGTCGTAATACTGTGTCTAATATGTAACAACATCCGTGCAATTCGTATTCATATATATATCTATGCTCATGTCATCAATAGACCATTTGTTATCACGATCATGTTGGGAATATCGGGCTGATGACCACTACAACATCCAAACTTGTTTTTGTAAAAGACGATGAGGTTGTGTAGTGGTAGGTGCTACAGATATTTCTTGGCTTGGTGATTTGGTTCCGTAGGTCGTGAATTGGAGGCCTGGACAAGGCACGAGTCATTAAACTGTCTTCCTTTGCAACTTTAGTTTCTATGCCATTTATTCAAGGTCATACACACAACGTGTCATATCCACTAGTGTATGTTGATCCGAGGGTTTAACACATGAAATATCTCATGGTACTGTGTACACCATGTATTAACACTCGTACCATTGTATTCATGTATATATCTGGTATTTTCAATGAATAAAGTGTAGTTTATTTCTCACTTGTAGATGAATGTAACCAAAAGATTGATGAAAAAAATCAAGAAGTTGAAAATGCTACTGAACTCGAGCAACTCAACGATAACGAAGGTTGGTATACTTACATGATTAAATTTCAAATCATATTTACATAAACAAGTTGATTAATGAAAAACAGGAAACATAATCTTAAAAATAGCACATTGAATTTGAAAAACCATTATCTTCAAAAATAGATACTTGCTGTGTTCATTTATTAATAAACTATAATGGTTTGAATAACAATACTGACACCTTCTTAGGGGGATCGCATATATCCGTATGGCTTTATCTTGGTTATCAAGCAACCTTTTATTGGATAAGACCTTATTAACTTTTGATGATACAAACTTTTGATGAAAAAAACGGGAAAAGAACGTGTCATACAAACGATGCATTGTTAAGTATATATTTTTACTATTTCTTTTACTGTTTTTTAATTGTTCCTTATTATTGTTACCCCAATGACTCCACTGTTGCTGGGCGGTTAAGCAATAAACAAACAAACTAGCTAGCATCCATATCTTATTTTGACGAAAATTTGGATTTCGTAAAAGGCATTAACCGGATCTATTTTCCGTTGAGACAAAAACGTCAGAGAATATAAATATATAATTCGCGCAACAAAATGGCACCCTGTTTTATAAAAAGATGTTAAGAATATCTCAGCACCTTGTAACATAATGCTACTAGAGGTAACACAGCCGAGTTATATCTACCAGCATTTCCCAAAACCACAGGCACCATTAAAAATGTGATTTATAGTTAATGTCATATAGAAAGGATTTACATTGAAATTAAAAATACAGCATCAACATATTATTTTCTTGATCATTATTTTTAAAACTATTATCAGTTTTTTCAACAGTTTTGAACATTGGATTCATACACAGCGCCAATAAAAACCACTAATTATTATCAAGTTAAAAGTAGTAATGTTCATGTTTCTTGCTCACAGGTAAGTTTGAACTTAATGTTTGTTTTGTCAGGTAGAATATGTATCAGAATCAAAGCGATATATATAAAAAATAACTTCAAAGAGTGAAGTCAAACTATTGATACATTGGTCGTATTTGTATCCAAACTTGGTAGATATCATCAAAACAGTCGACAGAGAAGACCACATTTCTGATCAAGACATCATGGAGGAATTGTCTGAAGGTTAATTAGAACCTTTTTTCGTAGATTAGAATTATATATAATGGTTTATCTTATTACTTAATATTTGGTTTCAGCATATTGTTTTCTTATCTAACAAAATTAAAGCACTGTTAATTTAATTAATGAATATACACTCCTATATGTTTTTTAGATATTAGAGTGTGAAGGGTCGTATATATACATCCAATGAAATATTTAGGATATTTTATGGCAATATTAGGATGAGTCATTAGGTTACTCGAATTTCGACATATTTAAAGATTGTGTGACAATCGTGGATGGTATTAAGCGTGTGCAGCGATGTAACTGGTAGTCTCTCCAAATGACTATGCTCTACCATATACACTTTTCACATTTTGATTCCACAACATATTCATATTCGTTGTCAATGTATCTAATGCACCACTTCACCAGTAACTATTACCTTATTCCATTTCCTTCCTCTTATCAAGTTGTGGACAACCCTATCTGTCATTGCGCCATTGCATCGTAGATACCATCAGTTAACATTTGATCCACCTATTTCAATCAATCATTTTGTATACCATCTTAAGAAGGTTATCAAAAAACCGAAATCCTTGAGCTACCAGTCGGCCGAAGGAATGTGACTTCATGGTTATTGGTTCTGTTAGAGTATGTATTGTTATGTAATAGGGTAACTTTTGTGTCACAACATAACGGCTCAATATCTCGAAATGTTTACAAACTGCATTGTCCAAACTATTTATTATATATTCTTGGTTTGTGTATCAATTTAAACAATGATGTGATCCCTCGTTTGTTCAGACCCAGCGTCTTTAAAGGTCCATACGTTCGTTATTACTTAGGATACCAACAAAAACATATTTTAACAAGTCGATCGTTTTATTACGTCTTATTTATAGACAGTGAATGCATGTTTTCTTCATATACTCATACTAACAAATACATAGGAATCCATGATTATAATATCATGTACATATTTGTAGTTTTAGTATGATATAACGGTAACTAAAGCAAACCCTGCGAATGCCTAATTAAATATATTTTTCACATAAATATGTTTCCCTGTATATTCGAATAAAGCTAAAGCATTTTTTGTTAAAATGTAAACCCCTTGTTACCACGTTACTTTTCGCTACCAAATAAACCTCTTGGCACCATGCGAAGCATTTCATATACTAATTTTTATCATATAATAACGTTTGTGCGAAGTCTGTTCACCATCGTGATTCTAACCGGAAATCAGACACTAGATTATAATACAATTTTAATTAGAATAGAGTACAGACAAGAATATCCGGAAGTTTATTTTTTATATCAAAATGTGAATTTATACTTATTAATTAATATATATGGAAGACGAATACTGATACTTGACAGACTATTTTGAACAGTATGTACATTATTTAAAGGCGATTCTAGACGCCCATGTACACTGTATGTATATTTATATATATGTTTATGTCGTAAATTTTGAAAATAAAATAATAAAGAAAACAACTCTTGTTACTATGTAACTCTTTGCTTCCATGTCAACCTATTGTTACCACTTAACTCTTTGTTGCCATGAAAACCAAATATCACCACGTAACTCTTTGTTGCCATGTAACCCCATTGTTACCACATAACTCTTTGTCGCCATGTAAATCCATAATAACCACGTAACTCTTTGTTGCCATGTAAACCCATTATACCACGTAACTCTTTGTTGTCGTGTAAACCCATTATCACCATGTAACTCTTTGTTGCCGTGTAAACCCATTATTATCACGTAAATCTTTGTTGCCGTGTAAACCCATTATCACCATGTAACTCTTTGTTGCCATGTAAACCCATTATTGTCACTTAAATCTGTGTTTCCATGTAAACCCATTATACCACGTAACTCTTTTCTGCCGTGTAAACCCATAACACCACGCAACTCTTTGTTGCCATGTTACCCCTTTGTTTCCACGTAACTTTTTGTTGGCATGTCAACCCATTTTCATCACATAATTCTCTGTTGCCATGTAAACCAATTATACAACGTAACTCTTTGTTGTCGTAAAAACCCATTATTACCACGTAACGCTTTGGTGTCATGTAAATCCATTATCACCACGTAACTCTTTGTTGTCATGTAAACCCATTATACCACGTAACTCTTTGTTGCCATGTTAACCCATTATACCACGTAACTTTTTGTTGCCATTTAAAACCCTTGTTACTATGTAACTTCTTGTCGCCATGTTAACCCCTTGTCACTATGCAATTCTTCGTTGTTACGTGGAACTCATTTAACCACGTAGGCACTTTGTTCTTAAAATATGCATGCATTTTATAAATTTCAATTACATGCTACAATCAGTTGATGTCTGCAATTAACATTTTTCAGATCTACCGGATATTGTGTTCGAAAATGAGGTAAGTTTGTTTTTTCTGATGAACAAACGTTATGATTGACCCAACATCAGCACTAGTGAAGTCTATGATTTAACATATGTGTTTGAATTTATAAATAATAGGCACTGTTATAGGCTGGGAACCTGTTTTAAGAAAGAAACAACAGCAAATCTACGATGATCCTTCATTCTAGTGTATTACGTTTTCTACATACGGGCATTAGTTTTCTGTGAAGCTACAGCGTTAACTCAATACATCATTCAAGTTATTTACTGGTTTGACAAATATATGCAAAATATATTTGCCAATGTGTTTACTTAAATTTCATAGCATTGATACAATGAACAGCATGCTGAGCTATGTTTAAAACTCTGTAAGATGAACTGTTCAGGTGAGTTTTATATTAACGTTTTTTTTTATATTTTTTCCCTTTAAATAAAACAGAGAAGATTATAATTATACTTCTTATAAATGGATCTTTATACTTGTTCGTTTTATGAAACTGTCTATATAATAATTTACATATGTCCATCAGGTACCCAGTAAGAAAATCCGTGAAAGCATAAAAGACAAACCCGAGGTGGTCAAGTTATTTTCCTTCCTCCAGATCCTCACTGCTGTGTTTGGGTCATTTGCACATGGCGGAAATGACGTCAGGTAATTTATCTAATCATTCAAACTTTAATTAATGAGTTAATGAATTCGCCATCAAAAAAAAATATGTTTCAAGTTGATATTCTTTGTTCCATTTCTACATTTTAAGCGATTCACATCGATTCTTCCTTAGTCTTCTGTATATATTTATGTTACACTGCAAACCATTATATAAACATAACAAGAAGAGATACATTTTGTTAGGGCCTGAATGAAATGGAATCACAGCTATTTTGACGCTTTTCGTTTTGCTTCGCATTAACTGAGACCATCATAAACGATCCTGCTCAGTTTATGTATATCAATGAAAAACACGCTATCCGGTGCACTTAATGTAGATGTTTCTTCGGACGCTATAAGGTATGGGGCCACCTGTCCGACCAAGTGGGATTTCTCCGGGTACTCCGGTTTCCTCCCACACAAAGACCCCGCGCGCTAATATCCGGGCAAACAAGAGTGAGTAATATAAGTTAACCTAACTTGTTTCATAATTGTTGTAAAATAGATCAAATTTATATATTTATGTAGATATTTCTTTTGTTTAATTAAAACAGTAACTCCATTGGTCCTTTGGTTGCCATTTGGATGATAGCAAAGGAAGGAACCGCCATGCAGGCGTCTTCCACTCCTTTGTGGATATTGGTGTATGGAGGGGTGGGTATTGTCATTGGACTGTGGATCTGGGGACGAAGGGTCATCAAAACTGTTGGGGACGACCTCACCAAGATCACGCCGTCAAGGTCAGTAAAAAGGCTGTTTACTTAGATTTAAGTCTTAACATAAGCAGTAAATGTTCTATAGGTGCAAAATACTTAAGTAAGCATTACCATGGTGTCACGTTCTACAAAAGACTCAAGTTGTTCAATATTTGTATTTAGATTTGTAAAATATCATCACGTCTACTTCTGATAACTCCTGGACGTCAAACCACCCGGTATGGACAAAACGATAATTCAAAACCTAGGTCCATGGCTGTGTTGACAACACTCTAGACGATATTTTTTTGCTATATATTGAGATTGGTATTCAGTTTCAGATAAGTTATAAAATGATAGTGATAACTCATATTGTCACTACAACATACCTTTAAATAACTGAATTTCCTTTCCTTCCAGTGGGTTCTGTATAGAGCTTGGATCTGCTCTGACAGTCCTGATAGCCTCAAACATAGGTATCCCCATCAGTACGACACACTGTAAGATCGGTTCCGTCGTATTCGTCGGAAGGGTTCGTTCCAAGGAAAACGTCGACTGGAAATTGTTCCGGAACATTATCATCGCGTGGGTCGTCACACTTCCGGTCAGTGGTGCAATCAGCGCCTTGGCTATGCTTGGTTTACAGGAACTGATATGAGATAGTATGAAGGAGATTTCTCCCCATCATTGGACAGTGTGTAATTGGAGGCACACACGTTGGTTAGAATGATTCAGTTCCGAGACAATTACAATTACCTTACATAACGACATTCACCATCCTTTAAGCAGCTTTCCCTCTTACCTATCAATACAATAGTGACTTCAAGAGGGACGTATTCTTATAACGTTGCTGTTAAGAACACCCGGAGAACAGTAATCTAAGTTATACTATGACGCCTAAACCATTCAATCCCCGAATCTCACTGCAGCGGTTAAACCATATGGTTTCAAAATCCGAAAATATTGACCTTGCACTATCATAGTGGTCAGATTTTGCGTCTCTCTTTTAGTTGGTTGATACATATACTATATGATATATTTTAATGTGGTATTTTATATATAATTAAATGAATGAAATGGACATTGATGTATTTTAAACCTTATAACATTATCTTGTAAAGTATTTAGCAACATATTAATGCTTTGTACGCGTGTGTACGGTGTGTTATAAACCTTCAGTTTCTTTGACAATTGTAATCAAACAGAACGTTCGTATTTGCTGTCAAAAAAGTTGGGAATGTCGAAATGTTTTGAACACTTTCAATGTACATATTGACTCTTCAAACAATAAACATGAAATTGAAATCCTGCAATAGACATTTTAAAATTTATCAAAACGTTCATTTTCATGTTTTAGCAATATCATTAAAAATCTTAACAGCAAAAACATTTCCGCTTTTGTTGCACTAATTTAGCAACATGAAAGCATCCAAAATTTTCGCCGGGACCAAAAACTACATTTCTAATCTGAAACCAAATGTCGCTGTTCAAACATATGCATTGTAGATCACTATATCACTATATGATATGCATATTCTACAATGTACATGTTAAGTGATGTACGTCATAAAGTGAGATGTTTGAGTTCATCACAATGTTATAACTAGACTAATGGGTCTGTTTGTACAGACTATGGAGAGTTTCTGACGAGGAGTGTGTGTGATATCCGTCAGTCTTACAGACGATGGTAGCAGAGTTCTATAGGACAAATAAACATGGATAGTGAATTAATCCTGCACAAAACACCTACATAAATAATTATATATTTATAAACTACATTTTAAAAACAATGTGTTTAGAAGATTTTTTTTTTCCAGATTTGGGACTTGTGGAAATCATGATTACTACATCAAAAACACCAAAACAAAACATGATTTTTGACCAAAAGTTTGACCTCCGCAAACAGTCATGTTATCTTAAAACCTTTCTGATATTAAATATCACCTACTTGATAACAGAAATACTCACGTTTTAGCATAGGTCATTCAGTTGAATTTTTCACAATATGGACTACATGAAAAGCTAGCTTTTGTTGTGAAGACACAGATTCGTAAATGGTCAAAACTGTAGTTTCATACCAAATTCATTTTTTTTTCTTGAAAAATGATGAAGACCACATAGCCCATTTCATCATGTATATATCAATTTTAGTGCTGTTTTTTTGTGTATTTTGATACATGTAATATTAAAAGGCTTATTCTTTGTACAAAAAAATCATCCATAGCCATCGTACGTTACTGTTCTCTGCTACCTATGGAGAGATTCTTACGAAGAGTGTGTGTGTCATTCGTCAGTCTTATTGTCTATGTAGAGTGTATGACGTGGAAGGTGTGTGTGCGACATTCGTCAGTCTTACTATGTAGAGTTTATGACGTGGAAGGTGTGTGTGTGTGTCAGCCGTCAGTCTTACTGTCTATATAGAGTGTATGATGTGGAAGGTGTGTGTGTGACATCCGGCAGGCTTACTGGCTATGTAGAGTGTATGACGGGGGGGGTGTGTGTGTGTGTCAGCCGTCAGTCTTACTGTCTATATAGAGTGTATGATGTGGAAGGTGTGTGTGTGACATCCGGCAGTCTTACTGTCTATGAAGAGTTTATGAGTGTGTGTGCGTGTGTGTATGACATTCGTGAGTCTTACTGTCTATGTAGAGGGGATGACGTGGAAGGTGTGTGGGCGACATTCGTCAGTCTTACTATGCAGAGTTTATGACGTGGAAGGGGTGTGTGTGTGTGTGACATCCGTCAGTCTTACTGTCTATGTAGAGTTTATGAGTGTGTGTGTGTGTGTGAGAGAGAGAGAGAGAGAGAGAGAGAGAGAGAGAGAGAGAGAGAGAGAGAGAGA